CGACATTCACATGGACATCCTGGTACGGCCGCAGTCGGAATACCTGTGCAACAGTCTGATCCACGCTTATAGTTTCTGCCACAGAAGAAAGGACAGACAACAGAGAAGTGAACATCCCCCCAAAAGTTTCCAGGTGGCTTAAAGTGCCAAATCATTACAGTGAAGTTCTCATGAAACATTTAGGACCTTAGCAAAAGACAACAGCATCTCTCAGCTACTGCTAAATAAAGATTTGTTAAAATCAAAGCAGGGGAGATAAACTTTAGCCTGAAATTATTCCTGCAAGAAGACGACAAACAGTCAGTCAGAGAGAGCAGAAAAAAAATTTAAGGCTAAAAAGCCAATAATTTTGTTTAAATTGCACCTCACATTACCCAGCCAAAAATTGATTTAAAATTGGCTATTCACTTCCTGATAAAATAATAATTGTTCCACTCCTAAACAGACAAAGCATTGATTTTTCTCACCAAGTTAAAATATATGGCATTACTCGATCACTGCTACAGTCCAATCACGTAATCTTTGTCTATGATCTTACTATGCATATTGTAAGTCTAGAGGCTCACCTTTCTGCAAATCTTCCTTAAGTGACTTCACTTGCAGGAGCAGGGGGCTAGGACACAAAAAAGAAAAAAGGCAAAAAAGTTGAAACATAAATCTACTCTGACTAAATCACTCTCTCAAAACAATTTTGCAAAATTGAGCACGCGATCAGCTAAGCATTTGCAATACCACATTAACAAACTTTTATATTAATATTTTCTAAAAACATCACACATCATCCTCTCTGCCTGACACCCCTTCTTGTTCTTTATACCTATTATAACTATAAGGTACCGTTTAGCTAAATGTGATGCTCTAACAGGGAAGATAAGCCACACAAACTTCTCAGATCATCAAACAGCTACACTCCTACTTTTCAGACATAAGCTACAAAATAAACATTTTCTTTTAAGGAGGTTTACGTTTTTGCAGCCAGATTAGGAAATTTTCGTTTTGCCTAGGAGATACTGTAGAACTGAAGAGCAATCATTAGGTAACAGCAGCTTTATCAAGAAGATAAAGACGATGTATATTTCTCCATATTCAGGTGCTACTTACCCTACAAACAGTCAGCAAACTAGCATCAAACACAAAGAACTTCAGAAACTTTAGGGAAAGAAAAAAGGAAAGACCTCTTGCTATAGTTATCCTCTTTACTCTTCTTCAGGAAGAAAAAACGTAACAACCTCCTGAAGCAAAGTTATGAAATCAAGCAACCAGTAGTCCCTCAGTCTAGAGGCTACCGCACACGAACATGCCCTTTCAGTTCCCTAACCACACTTGACTGGTAACAGCACAAAGAGAATTCACCTGTATTCATCATTGGGATGCGCAATTTCCACAACATCGCCCAGCTTGATTTGAAGAAATACTTTAGGATTCACCACCAGTTCATCATCTACGAGACAAAACATAAATGAATGAGGAAACCTGCAATGAACAAATATGTATCGAACACAGACATTTTTTGTACGCACGAACCTGCTCAACATTAATATACTAGTCCCAGATTAACACATTAGCAGCACACTATATTCACTACATGATAGGGTCCCTATTCAGCCACTTCAGTCTGGCCAATCTTGCAGGCAAAAATTTTTCTTTCAAGTCGCAGAACATTCACAGCAGATTTGTTCAACAAAACAGCCTGCTTTAGTTAGGCAAGCTGAGTCTTTCTTTTTTTTTTTTTTATTATTTCCCATTTAGCGAGCACTGGCAGGAAGGCAGATAGCTAGAGAATCTACTTAGCAAAACTTTGTTAACATGCTATGATTTGGAGCCCAGAAGTAGGGAGCAAACAAATAAACATTGTTCCTAGTACACAGGAACACAAAATCTGACCCTATATGCATCCACATGCAGCAATAACAAGACACCTCTGTCACCCTTATTAAGGGTGGCTGAAATACAAGGTCAGAAGAAGAAAACAGATGAAAAGTGACATAACAAAAGCAGAAGAGGTAGAATAAAGCCATTTTATTTTACAGATGCAATCATAAATTTTGTTCTGCTGTATCTTGCTACTGAAAAGAGCTTTCCACACTTTGGCTGGCAATACTGCTCGTTAAAGTTCTACTCTTCTTGTTGTGTTAAAAAGATCAACAAAGCAGGTCACTGCTTTCAAATAAGGAAGAAAGTGCAGGTCTCACTGTTATGAGCCAGAAGATACTGACCACTGCCTCCAAACCCCTTCTTATGTATGACGAGCTTGTACACCTTGTTGGTTCTCATCTTGAATTCCAGTTCTTCTCTGGAAAGAGAAGGTCCCTCCCACCGTGGGGGGCTCTGTCAGCACCAAGGCGCTTCTCAGTTCAGCTGCTTTGAGTAAAAACAGTCGATGACATCTTGCAGACCTAATATGTAAATGGAAAAACGAACAAAAAACCCCACAGGCCTCCTGTTATTACAAAATTATTCCTTATACTCTGGGAACATGTCTGCTATTATGAAAGAACAACATTTCTGTGAAGAATTATTTTTCAGAGAGTCAGGGATCACGTGAAGGAAGGATGTTCTGTCAGCAGACTGCCAGGGGAACTCACTTAGGCAAGAACACCACACGTGAAAGGCTGGCATGCCACAGAGGTTAATAAATTTCAGAGTAAAAGTTTAGCAAAGATCCCTCTTCTACCAGCACTCCCATCAAAGGGGTAGCATCACTCTCTAAAACTGGATTTTGTCTACTTCGAGGATGAATTTCTGAATCTAATGTTTTAACGACATAAGATCAATACTCAAACTTATGCCCGCAGCTGAGGGATCATCTCTTTTTGTCACTGCGCTGCACGGTGACTACAAGGGACTCCACCTCGCACACCAGAGGCGGCTGCGGCCAGCAGAGGGCCGGGCGCGCCGGCGCTGCACGCCTATCGCACCGAATACTTCCCCTCCGCGCACCCTCCGCGTTTTTCTTCCTGCTCCCTTTATTTAAAAGAGGGAGACTATCTCTATGGAGGAGCTTTACTTTTGCCATTTACTCTTTTTAGAAGTGTACTAAAACTGAAGATTATCAGCATGGACAGAGGTTCTCTTCCTAACGCTTACAGCCACGTTGTTAAATTGAAATACGAGCTCTTCTAGTTACAACACGCACTTGCGATGACCGTACCCGCTTCCCAAATCACAGCGCGCATCAGAGGAGCAACGGAGGCCTGAAGCAGGTTACGGCACCAAGCTCGCAGATCCCCTTTTGCGGGTGCCCGTTCAAGCAGCGCGCTGAAAAGAC